GAGCCCGTTCGCGCCGATGTTGGTGGGACGTCTCAGCTAAAATTGCCCTTTGGCCTCCCCAACATGTCTCTCTTGAGAGCCTCATGATCACAAAACGCTGCCAGGGGCATCATTTGGGAGCCCCAAGGGGGAGCCACCCTGGCTGATATCACGAGCCCGTTCGCGCCGATTTTGGTGGGACGTCTCAGCTCAAATTGCCGTTTGGCCTCCCCAACATGCCTCTCTTGAGAGCCTCATGGTCACAAAACGCTGCCAGGGGCATCATTTGGGAGCCCCAAGGGGGAGCCACCCTGGCTGATCTCAAGAGCCCGTTCGCGCCGATTTTGGTGGGACGTCTCAGCTAGAATTGCCGTTTGGCGCCCCCAACATGTATCTCTTGAGAGCCTCATGGTCACAAAACGCTGCCAGGGGCATCACTTGGGAGCCCCAGGGGGAGCCACCCTGGCTGATCTCACGAGCCCGTTCGCGCCGATGTTGGTGGGACGTCTCAGCTAGAATTGCCGTTTGGCGCCCCGAACATGTATCTCTTGAGAGCCTCATGGTCACAAAACGCTGCCAGGGGCATCACTTGGGAGCCCCAAGGGGGAGCCACCCTGGCTGATCTCACGAGCCCGTTCGCGCCGATTTTGGTGTGACGCCTCAGCTAGAATTGCCGTTTGGCCTCCCCAACATGTATCTCTTGAGAGCCTCATGGTCACAAAACGCTGCCAGGGGCATCATTTGGGAGCCCCAGGGGGGGTCCACCAGGGGCTTCATAGTCACCAACCGCTGCCAGGGGCAGCATTTTGGCTTCCCAAAGAGGAGTCGACCCGGGCCTCCTAGTCGCCAGACACTGCCATGGGCACCATTGGGATTCAGACTCGCACCCAGACTCACTCATACACAAGCTCACTCACACTCAGATTCATTTCTTCAGAGTCAGGCACACACAGACGTACCCATACTCAGACTCACCCACACTCAGGCTCACCTAACCCAGACTCCGTCAGAAGCCAGTAGCGAAGAGAGCAGAGAGGAGAGAGAGAGAGAAAGAGAGAGAGAGAGAGAGAGCGGGAGAGAGCGAGAGAGAGAGAGAGAGCGCGCGAGCGCGAGCGCGAGCGCGAGCGCGAGCGCGAGCGCGAGCGAGAGAGAGAGAGAGAGAGAGAGAGAGAGAGCGAGCGAGCGAGCGAGCGAGCGAGAGAGAGAGCGAGGAAGAGAGAGAGAGAGAGAAAGGAAGATAGAGAGAGAGAGAGAAGGAGAGAAAGAGAGAGAGAGAGAGAGCAAGAGAGAGAGAGAGAGGAAGCGAGAGAGAGGGAGAGGAGAGAGAGAGAGAGAGAGCGGAGAGAGAGAGAGAGGGGGAGTTGAGAGAGGAGACAGGCGAGAGAAAGAGAGAAGAGAGAAGAGAGAAGAGAGAGAGAGAGAGAGAGAGAAAGAAGAGAGAAGAGATAGAGAGAGAGAGATAGAAGAGAGAGAGAGAGGAGAGAGAGAGAGAGAGAGAGAGAAAGAAAGAGAGAGAGAGAGAGAGAGAGAGAAAGTGGAAAGAGAGAGGGGGGGGGAGAGAGGAGAAAGAGAGAGAGAGAGAGAGAGAGAATAGAAGCGAATACAAGAGAGAGAGAGAGAGAGAGAGAGCGAGAGACGAGAGAGAGAGAGAGAGAGAGAGCAGAGAGAGAGAGAGAGAGAGAGAGAGCGGGAGAGAGCGAGGGAGAGCGAGAGAGAGCGAGAGAGAGCGAGTGAGAGCGAGAGAGAGAGAGAGAGAGCGAGAGAGAGCGACAGAGAGCGAGAGAGAGCAAGAGAGAGCGAGAGAGCGAAAGAGAGAGAGAGAGAGAAGAGAGAGAGAGAGAGAGAGAGCGAGGGAAGAGAGAGAGAGAGAGAGAGAGATAGAGAGAGAGAAAGAGAAAGAGAGAGAGATATAGAGAGAGAGAGAGAGAAGAGAAGAGAAGAGAAGAGAAGAGAGAGAGCGAGAGAGAGAGAGAGGGAGAGTGAGAGAGAGAGGAGAGAGCAGAGAGAGAATAGAGAGAAGAGAGAGAGGAGAGAGAGAGAGAGAGAGAGAGAGAGAGAGAGGCAGAGATAGAGGCAGAGAGAGAGAGAGGCACCGAGAGAGAGGCAGAGAGAGAGAGAGGCAGAGAGACAGAGGCAGAGAGAGAGGCAGAGAGAGAGAGAGAGAGAGAGACAGGGAAAGAGAGGCAGAGACAGAGAGAGGGCAGAGAGAGAGAGAGAGAGACAGAGAGAGCAGAGAGAGCAGAGAGAGAGGCAGCTCAGTCACACTTAAATCCAGATTCGTCCTCACCGAGTCCCACCACCAAGGGAGCGCCAGCAAGGAGATGCACATATGGGGATCCCCACGCAGTGAATATTCTTTGTTTTTGTTTCTCAGATGTGTCCTAAAGTTATGGCGTTCCTTTTGAGAGCCTATACAAGAGGATTCTGATTGGAAGCCTCTACAATCGGATTCCTCTTGAGAGCGTTCACAAAAGGATTCTATTCACACCCGTTGCAATCAGCTTCCTATTGGAAACGAATACACAAGGATTCCTATTGAGAGCATACACAAGAGGATTGTGATTAGAGCCTCTACGCTAGGATTCCTATTGAGAGCGTTTACAAAAGGATGCGAATGACACCCGTTGCAATCGGCGTCCTATTGGAAACTAGTACAAACGGATTCCTATTGAGAGCATATACAAGAGGATTCTGATTGGAAGCCTCTACAATCGGATTCCTATTGAGAGCGTTTTACAGAAGGATTCTAATGACACCCGTTGCAATCGGCTTCCTATTGGAAAATAATACAAAAGGATTCCCATTGAGAGCATATACAAGAGGATTCTGATTGGAAGCCTCTACAATAGGATTCCTATTGAAGGCGTTCACAAAAGGATTCTAATGACACCCGTTGCAATCGGCTTCCTATTGGGAACTCATACAAACGAATTCCTATTGAGAGCCTATACAAGGGGATTCTGATTGGAAGCCTCTACAGTGGGATTCCTATTGAGAGCGTTTACAAAAGAATTCTAATGACACCCGTTGCAATCGGCTTCCTATTGGAAACTAATACAAAAGGATTCCTATTGGGAGCCTATACAAGAGGATTCTGATTGGATGCCTCTACAATAGGATTCCTATTGAGAGCGTTTACAGAAGGATTCGAATGACACCCGTTGCAATCGGCTTCTTATCGGTAACTAATACAAAAGCGTTCCTATTGAGAGCCTATACAGGAGGATTATCATGTAAGCCTCTACACTAGGATTCCTATCGAGAACGTTTACAACAGGATTATAATGACACCCGTTGCAATCTGCGTCCTCTTGGAAACTAATAAACAAGGGTTCCTATTGAGAGCCTATACGAAAGGATTCTGATTGGAAGCCTCTACAATAGGATTCCTATTGAGAGCGTTTACAAAAGGATTCTAATGACACCCGTTGCAATCGGCGTCCTATAGGAAAGTAATACAAAAGGATTCCTATTGAGAGCCTATACAAGAGGATTCTGATTGGAAGCCTCTACACTAGGATTCCTCTTGGGAGCGTTTACCAAAGGATTCTAATGACACGCGTTGCAATCGGCTTTGTATTGGAAACTAGTTCATGCGGGGGCGAGCAGTGGGCGGGGGAAGACGAGCGCCCTCTCTTCGGACCCTGGAGGGCCCCCTTTCTGGGCCACAAGGACCCCTCGTTGCAGCCTTTCTGTCTACACGTCGTTCATTCCTGATCGCGCTCATTTCTAAGCGTGCTCGTTTCTGACTGCTCCTGGCCCGCTGATGGCCAGGAAGCGGCACAGGATAGAACAATCAGACATGAAAGGACCCTGGCCCCCAGAGATCAAAGAACTTTCGAAGGATTAGAAATGCACAAAACGTCGATCGCCCCCCCCCCCCCAATAATTCATGTTCAGTGCGGCCAGCCGCGGCGACCTCCGGAGGGGCGCCTGAGCGCACAGCCCAAAGGCCTTTACCGGTGGAGGGGGCGCGGACGGCGACTCTCTCCGAGGGCGAGCAAAGCGTGGGCCGCTGCGGCTGCGTGCGGAAGCCCAGGGCGGGGCTGGGCGCTGCAGGTGGGCATGCGCACTTTGCTTCCGGCAGGGGGGATGGGCTCTCATTGCAACGCCAGGAGAAGAACAAACACCGCATAAACATAAACTGCTGGTGCTCCGCGCGGATCTCTTGGATCCGCACCACACCCCCGTCCCTGGCTCGCGGAGCGCGCCAGGGGCACAGCGCGGATCCAAGAAAACCGCGCGGAACGCCAAAAGTTTCTGCTTATGCGGTTTTCTGCTTCGAAACGTGCAATAAAAATCAACCATCCAAAACAAAAATAAAAATCAACCATCCCGTTCGAGCACGCAGATGCAAGGCACAGCGGACGCGCCGAGATGCCAGGGTATCCCTGGGCCCTGGACCGAGGAAGCAGGCATGCCCAGAATCGGGGGATGCGAGGATGCCTCGCCTCAAGGGCTCATCCTCGAGAAATGTTTGCAATGTGGACAGGGGTAGTGGTCAGATGAAACCTGGAATTCGAAAGAGAGATAGAGAGATAAAAAAGACAGAGAGAGAGAGAGAGAAAACGAGAGAAAGAGAGAGAGTGGACTCCACAATTCAGGTTTTCGCCCGAGGCAAGTTTTCTCTCACTGCGGTTCCAGGGGGCAGAAGATTTGGCTTCCGGAGTCTAGCATTGCGACTTCTGAGGGACCCTCTCCAAGAAGGCGGTGAATTCGGAATCTGCGACCTTGTTTGGCCTTCCATGGAGAGTGGGACTTCGACCAACAGCAGTGGGTCCAGAAGAAGTCCTCCCCGTCCTGTTCGTGCACCTCCTCCTCTTCCTCTGCCTCCACTGTGGGGCTCGTGCCCTCCTCCTCCTCCTCCTCCTCCTCCTCATCATCATCATCCAAGAAATTCGAAGCTTGACTCAGCGATCGCGAAAGCAGGTTCGTCATCGTCAGCAGGTAATGTGGCGCCGACGCTCTTCTCGCCGCGCTCCAAGAAGTTCATGGTCTTGCTGTATTGCAGCCAGCCTCGGAGCATCAAGTAGCTTTGAGCTGTTTCCCATGGCGTCCTGTACCGCCGTCAGAAGCGCGTTCTCGTCATAGGACTCGGGTTGAACTACGCCGTTGACAATAATCCAAGGAACACCGTCGTGCTCAGGAATGTTCCTAGCTTCAAGCTCGAAGGCCTCCTCTCCCCCTCCACTCTTATAACACTTGTCGATCTCAGCAAAATTAATATTTGAAGATTCGGCACAAGTCTCGATAAGCGTTTCGAACAGGTCTCCGCCTTCTGTCGTCGTATAATTTCTTTCCATACATAGAACGAACTGACCATAGTTCTCCCAATTTTTCGTGGAGGAAGCATGCTTGGCGCACGCGAAATAGCGAGTGAACCACGCTTCCTTGAAGCCGTGCTGGAAAATCAAACTGCCCCTGTAACAATTCTCAGAACGATCTGCAACCGCGACTCCAGGACCGCATCTTTGATTGAAACACTTGCGCATGCCCGCGTCATATCCTCCCGCACCACCACATGCCGGTACACTTTCATTGCCTGTCTTGGCATTATTGCATTCCGGGACTGCGTAAAAGGCATTACCAAGAGGGTTGAGATCAATGTTCATGCACCCTCTTGTCGGCTCGTGCGCGATGGCCTTCTCCACTGGACCGGCCAAATACTGGCGACAGTATTTGCAGCCGGGCTCAAAGAAGATCTGGACGCTGACCTTGCTCTCGCACGCCACCCTGCCCTCCCGCACCTGCGCCGAGAGTGCGAAAGCACCGCTGGCCAGAGATCCGCCACCGCTGGAAGGGTTGTGCTAGAACGCCTGCTGGCTGTCTGGCTGGGCTTTCGTCTTCCAGGACAGGCTGCCCCCGGTGGTCGCACCCGGTAGTCAACGCAGTCGCCCTCCCACCCTGCGGTCTCCTCTCGAGCGCTCTTCATGCCCCACCCCAGGACGGCTCCAAGACGGCCCAAGACCACCCCATAACGGCTGCAACACACCCCAGGACTGGCCCAAGACTGTCCAGAGGCACTCCCAAGGTCCCAAGGGGCCAGGCATGAACCCCCCCAGTAGGCGGCCACGGAGCACTCCAGCAGAGCCTGGGGAGCAACAAAAGCATGACACCTAGTATTGCTCAACCTTTGTGGCTTCCCACTGTTTCGGCTCAAGAGGGCGGCGGGAAGCCTTCCTGGAGCCGCCATGTGATCCCAGAGGGTCCCGGAGCTCCAGAAGAGCCCCAAGACCCGACTAGAGGGCCCCAAGGCAGTTCTACCGAGACTCTTCGGGCCGCTTCTGCAGAGGGCTCGGTCGAATCCTCGCGCCCAAGACGGCCTCAAGTCTCTCGACGGGCCCCGGGACGACTTCCAGAATCCCCAAAGAGGTCCCCACGCCCCGAGAGATGCAAAATTAACTCCCGAGGCGCTTCAGAGGCACCACAACAGTCATGCAATGCTGCGGCCACACGGCGTTGCAGCTTCGTCGAGCTGTTTCTCACATGACCCCAAGGAACCCAGGACGGCGCTACCGAGTCATTTAGGGCAAGATCGGTAGAACCAACTTGCATGCTTTTCGATGCTGCGCTGGCACGGTGGCGGTGTTTGCCGCAGGCAGCTGGATAGAACCACAATGCGCCAGAACATGCTGAAGTTACCAGACCAGAGCGCGTCTAATCCCACCAGCCCTTTCCTCTGGGCGTCGGTGGTTTATACTTATCCTCTTCCAATCCCCTTCTTCCTCTCCAGGTGAAGGTTTACTAATCCGCCTACTCCACGCCTAAGAGACTTTCCCATTCGCCCACTCCTGGGGGCATCTTGGCGGATGCTTGGGAGACTCTTGGGGGAGGGGCGTCCAGGGGCCCTGTGGGGCCGTCTAGGCGCCAAGGAAGCTTGACGTTTTGACCTTCTCCAGACGTGGAGAAGGTTGGGGCCCTCTTTGGGTCTCCCTTGGGGCCCTCTGGGGCTCTCCTGGGCCACATCCAGGGCCCGGTTGTGGGCTCACGCTGGGTCTTCTGAAAAACGCTTAGAGGCCGCAAGAGCCCTTCGTGAGCGAAACAGCGAGAGGGAGATCACCTGGAAGAGTCTGGCTTCTCGTGGGCCCCCTTGGGGCGTCTTGGGGCCATCCTGGGCCGCCCTGGAGGCTGTCTTGGCGTATCTTACAAGGTCTTGTCTCGTCTCGTCCCGTACAGCCAGACCGAGGACGGGAAGAGCATTCCTCAAGAGCATGAGACCCTCCGCCGGCCAGCCAAACTGAAGAACACTCGAGGGCACCCCTCCCCAAAGATGCACGAGAACATCCAACAAACACGACAGAACATCAAAATACCCTCCCCGAACCGACCTCAATATTATACCCTGGTCCAGCTGTGTTGTATTATCTCTGGGGGGAAATCAAAAGGTACTGATACCGCTACTGCCCCGACCTCTCCCTGGGTGCGTTCTGACCCAGATTTCCAAGCAAATCTTGCGGTGGCGATGAGATGAGGACCTCCCAGGAGGCGGACACTGGGGAGAACGGGGGAAGCGTAGCGGTATAGGTACCTGTTCCTTTACTGAATATTGCCTGGTCTTGGGGCCGTCTCGGCGGCGCCCTGGTCCGTCCTGAGGTCCGTAGCACGCCGGTCCCGTCGCGCCCGCGGACGGGGGTGGGGCCCGCCCGCCCCTCGCGGGAGAGGCCCCTCCCCCGAGACTCGGGGCCAAAGGACCCTTAGCGGAAGTGTCCCCCCTCCTCGTCCCGTTCGCCCTCCCCTCCCTCCCTCCACCTCAGCCTCCTACATCCTTTGACCCCGCTCGGCGGAACCCCTGGGAACGACCATTTCCTTCCTCCTCCCCCACCCCTCCTCCTCCTCCTCCTCCTCCTCCTTCATCCTCCTCCTCCTCCGCCTCCTGCCTCCCTCCTCCGTCCTCTCCTCCTCCATCCTCCCTCCGCTCCTCCTCCTCCCTCCTCCTCTCCTCCTCCTCCCCTGCCTCCTCCCCTTCATCCTCCTCCCCTTCCTCTCCTCCTCCTCCTCCTCCTCCTCCTCCTCCTCCTCTCCTCCTCCTCCTCCCCCTCCTCCTCTCCCTCCTCCTCTCCTCCTCCTCCTCCTCCTCCTCCTCCTACACGTCCTCCTCCTCCTCCTCCTCCTCCTCCTCCTCCTCCTCTTACACGTCCTTCTACTCTTCCTCCTCCTCCTACTCTTCCTCCTCCTCCTCCTCCTCCTCCTCCTCCTCCTCCTCCTTCTCCTCCTCCTCCATTCTTCTTCCTCATAAACAACCTCATTCCTGTCGCACCCCGAGGCCAGTCTTTAAGGCGGGCTGGGCGTTTCGCCTGAGACTTCCTCACTATTTCAGACCCTGATGCTTAAAATGGACAACAGTTTCACAGGCGGAGGGCGGCTCCTTTTTGGCTCTGGCCTCAGCGCCGCGTACATTCGTTTTTCAGCATCTGCAATAGTGCCACATAATCATTGGGGGCGGCTCCTTTTCAAAATGTGGCTCTCGCCTGAGCGGCGCGCACATTCGTTTTAAACATTTGCCATAGTTTCACGGAGTGAGGGCGGGTCGTTTTCACAGTGTCGCTCTCGCTCTAGCGCCGCGCACATTCGTTGTGAGCATGTGCAAGAGCTTCACGGAGTGAGGGCAGCTCCTTTTCAAAATGTGGATATCGCCTTAGTGCCGCGCACATTTGTTACAGAACGCTTCAAAGTTTCAAGCGGACTTCCATGATCAAAATACCAGAAATCGTGATTTGGTTGTTTTCCAATGAGGCAGCTCCCTCAGTGGAAATGAGCCGTTGTAGGGGCCTGTGAAGAGGGAGCTTGGAGGGACGTTGTTCTTCTAACATCGGTGGTGATTCTTGGGTTTACACTGGTCCTCCTCCTCCTCCTCCTCCTCCTCCCCCTCCTCCTCCTCCGCCCCACCCCCCTCCTCCTCCTCCTCCTCCTCCTCCTCCCTCCTCCTCCTCCTCCTCCCTCCTATCCTCCTCTCCTCCTCTCCTCCTCCTCCGCCTCCTCCTCCTACCCCCCCCCCCCCCCACACCCCTGCCGCGCGCGGAGGGCGAGCCGCCCGATCGGGACCGAGGTTTCGCGAGGGTCCTGATTAGCCCCCAGGGTGCCTCCAAGATGGCACAACCTGGCCCGCTGTTGCTTCCAGCATGCGTCCGAGGAGGTCCCAAGACGGCTCCCATTGGCGACGGATCCTCCAAGAGGGCGCCCCCGAGAGGCCAACACCCTCTGTCACAATGATCGGATTTCTTCTCCACCCTCCTCCAAGTCCTCCTCCTCCTCCTCCTGTCCTCCCCTTCCTCCTCATCCTCCTACTCCTCCCCAATATACTCACTCCTACTCCCCCCTTCTCCTACTTTCCTCCTCCTCCTCCTCCTCCTCCTCCTCCTCCTCCTCCTCCTCCTCCTCCCCTTCCTCCTTCTCCTCCTCCTCCTCCTCCTGCATGAGTGCCGTTCTCGATCGCAGTATCATGCTGGTGCCTCAGAGCCGCCCATGTCGGTGCACCCCTTGGGGACTTCGGGGGGCCCAGATGTAAGGGCGCTCACACTGGGCTACCCGGGGCGCTCGAAGTCGGTTCCGAAGTGTTTCTCATTTGCCCTCTTGGGGCCTTCTCGGGGGCCCTCCGGGAACTCGTGGAGAACCTCTTAGGTGTATTCCAGCTCTTTTAAGAAGCCTCGTGAGACCTCGCATATTGAAGGCTTGTGTCGAGGGCTCTGGGGGTCCTCCGAGAATGTCTTTCAAGCGTCTTGGGGAGACCCTCGGGCGCCTTGGAATTTCCTAGTTTTCCCAATTAAAAGGCATGGCCCAAGATGTTGGTGGTGGAGGAATTGCTGTTAGGCCTTCTTGGAGGCCTCTGGAGATCTTCAGCCTTCTTGGAGAGCATCTTGGGCTACCTTGGGCCACTCTTGGGTTGGCTCAGGGGCCTCCGAGGCAATCTTGGAGCCATACTGAAGGCCTCTCAGGCTGTCTTGGCAGGTCAGTGGGCCGAAAAGGCGAGAATGCCAGAATCCTACAACACACCTCATAACAAACAGTGAATGCTGCCGCTCGAAGCCCTCCTGCATGCCCTCCGGGAGCGCCTGGATCGGCGACTGGAGGTGTCTTGGAAGCCCCCGGGCCGTCTTCAAGCCATCTTGGGCAGACCCCGGAACGCTCCTGAGCAGCGTCGGAGCCCTCTTGGGCGGCATGAGGAGCCTCGCGAAGCTTTCTTGGCCCGTCTTGGGGGCCCCCAGCCTCGGGAAAAGGAGCCCCCGGGAGGTTGAATTTGGGTTCTCGGGAGCAATCTTTGAGCCGTATTCAGAGCTTCTTAGACAGTCTTGGCATGTCAATGGGCCGACAGGGCGAGAATCCCAAACTCCTACAATGAGGAAGTCTGCCTCTCGGGGCCCTCTTGGGGGCCCTCTGGGAGCGCCTAAATCGTCTGGGCGGCCACTGGGGCCGTCTTGAAGCCATCTTAGCCCGTCCTCCTGAGGTCTTCTCGGCCGTCCCTGTCCTCTGGAAAAGAGCCCTGGAGGGGTTGCATCCACGGTCTCCGGGGGGCCTCTGGGGCAGTCTGGGAGCCAGATTCGGGGCCTCCTGGGCCGCCTTGGCAAGTCAGCAGGCCGAAAAGGCGAGAACGTTCAAATCCTTACACGTCGTTCATTTCTGATTGTGGTCATTTTTTTTGCCGTGGCAATGCTTCGCGGCGCAGCGGCAGCACGCGAGCTGTAATGGCAGGCAGCCGCTAGGCCACCCCGAATAATCAGCGCACCTCCTCGAAGATGCGCACGCCGCCCTTGGCGCCGACGCTGGTGTCCACAACCTCGGACCCCAACTTCATGCCAACGCCCTCGACTCCTTGACCGCCACCTCGAGGCTGCTCCAGATGCATCTCCTGCAGCAGCGACACGCACTCGCACGGCTCGAAGAACTTCACGATCGCCCCGCGCCACGCGTCGCCATCGTCCTGCGGAGCTGCCACCTCCACAGCCTCCTTCGCGGCCTGCTGGTGGCCGCCCCTCTCGCCAGCCGCCAGCCTGCTGCCAAACCGTCAGCGAAGGCCCTTGCCTCCGCTCGCTGGTCGGCCTCCTGCCAAACTCCTGGCGCCAGCCCACCTCCGCCGTTGAGCACGGTGCCCTCCGACGCCACGTGGTTGACGCTCTGTGAGTCGTCGTCGCCGTCCGACTCGTCCTCGCTGCCGACCTCCGTGCCAGCAAACTTGCCCACTCCGACGCCGTCCTCCGACGCCTCCTGGATGGGCCCATCATCGTCATCATCGTCCTCCATCCTCCGCCCCCGCTGCCGCCAAGGAGCCCTGGAAAGAGAACACGCCAGGTTGAGCAACTTCGGCTCGAGCTCGGCGACGTGGATGACCTTTCCCTCGACCCCGAGCCACTTGCTGCCCCTCCTGATGTCGGGCTTCAGCTTCACCTCCCAGTCCACGCTGAGCGGCACCAGTGCCCGCTTCTCTTGCTCGCTCTCGCTCTCGACAGCCTCAGCGAAGCCGCGCACGTCGCAGTTCCCGTGCTCGGCCTCCTCCGCCTCGGGCTGAAAGCCCAGGCGGGGTCCCTGCGCCACCTCCGCGATCTCCTCGGCGGTCGCCCTGAGGAAGCCGCTCGGAGGGGCCCAGGCTGCGTGGATAGCCGCGTTGCGGCGCCGGCGCGATGCGCCCGCCACCCGCCGGCCCTCCACCGCGCTGACCAAGGCGGGCCTGGCCGCCCGCTCGCGGTCATGCCATGACCCGGCTTGCAGGGCTCCGCCACGGCATGGCCCCAGGCCTCCAGCGCCCTCAAGCGCCGCCGCCTGGCCGCCCGTCTCGCCGCAGAGGGGCCCAACACCAGGTTCTCCTGCTGCCTGAGCGCTTGGGCTGCCAGCAGGCTGGCAGCCCCCCGCAGCCGCTGCGCCCCGCCGCCCAGGCCGCCGCCATCGCAGGAGGCGCGCCGCCGCGGAGGACCCAGCTTTCCGCCTGAGCAGCGCGTCGTGCGCCGCCCCCTCGCCCGAAGCGCGGCCGCTGGAGGCTTGAGCCAAAATGGCTACGGCTGATTGTGGTCATTTCTAATTGTGCTCGTTTCAAATTGTTCCTGGCCCCCTAGTGGCCAGGAAGAGGCCCAGGATAGAACGACTTGGAATGAAAGGAGCCGGGCCCCCCAACAAAAACCAAAGACCTTTCGGAGCATGAGACGTGAGCAGTGTGCACGAACACTGGACCAGAGGAGCAGACATGCTGCTGCGAGCGATCCCCACCCGAGAACGCGAGGCGGGATGACCCCAGGGAGCAACGGCAGCACGGCGTCGTTCGGTTTCGTTGAAGGGGCCCTGGGGCACACAAAAAAATAGACACAAATAACAGGATTCCCCATATTGTCCCCTATGTTCTGGGTTTTCGTCTTCCCCCCCCCACTTCCCATATTTTCCTGGGAATCGACGATGAATTGCGTCTGTGCGTGATTTTCCCCTCCTGAGTCGTGCCGTCTTCGTCTTCCTTCGTCTCGTCTTCGCTCTCAGCTTTCGCTGCGCCGCGGAGTCACGACGAGCAAGCGGTCCACGAACTCGCCAGAGCGCCGTTTTGGGGTCCAGCCCTGGCACGCAGGGCGTGCGAGGCGAGGCGTGGGCTCCTCTCCTGAAGTCCGACAGCCCCAGCCCGCCGGGCGGGGAACAAGGAGATCCTGCATCCGGGGCCCTCGGTGGGGGTCCTCTCTGGGAGCGCCTGGAGGCGTCCAACAGGTACAGGGTGATAGGCAAATGTTCCACCACCACTACCATACATATGCAGGACGGGGGAGAAGGGAGGGTGAGGAGGTACTCCTCCTCCGCCTCCGCCTCCGCCTCCGCCTCCGCCTCCTCCTCCTCCTCCTCCTCCTCCTCCTCCTCCTCCCATTTCCCACCTATGGTAGTGGTGGTGGAAAATCGGCCCCTCACGGGGGGGCCGCCTTGAAGCCACGTGGAGCAGTCCTGGAACGCTCCAGGGCAGTGCCGAAGCTTCTCGGACTGCCCGGGGGGGCCACCATGAGGTCCGCTCGGTACGGCGTGGGCATTGGGTAAGGGACCCTAAGGAATCCAGGGTCTGAAAGCCAGTGGAGCTCCAGGCGTGGATCGGCCATGGATCTCATCGCCGCCCTCATTGGATAGGGAAGCCTCCAGGGTCTGCAGCCTCGTGGGCGCTTTCCTTTCGGAGGAGGGAGGAGGAGGAGGAGGAGGAGGAGGAGGAGGAGGAGGAGGAGGAGGAGGAAGAGGATCTCAGGGGCCCCTGGCCTCGGGAAAGGAGCCCCGGAGAGAGGGGCCGCCTCGGGCGCCTCTCGGGGGGCCCCGCGGGGGAGAGTCTCTTGCAGCCGCACTCGGGGCCTCCGGGGGCCGTCTTGGCGAGCCGAAAAGCAAAGCAAAGAAGCGGTGCATCCATGAAGGCGCGTGGGCAGAAACAGCAACTGAAAAGTCGCCGCGGCCGCAGCGGGCGCCTCCAGGGGGGAAGAGGTGGAGGAGGCAAAACGCTCCAGATGCTCAGCTGATCGAGATTGTGGACGGATTGCGCCCATTGCTGCCTGGGTCTCCCTCTGCGGCGGCGGAATGCCCAATCTTGGCAAGCCAGTGGGCCGAAAAGCTGCGAGAAGGCCCCAACCCTGCAAGACACCGAAGGCCTGCCTCTCGGGGCCCTCGTCGGGGGTCCTCCAGGAACACCTCGAGGCGTCTTGGAGGCCCCTGGGGGCGGTCTTGAAGCCCTCATGGGCAGTCCTGGGACGCTCCAAGGCCGCGTCGGAGCCCTCTTGGACGGCCTGGGGTGGCCTCGTGAGGCCCTGTTGGCCCCACCTTAGGGGCTGATGGCGTCGGGAAGAGAGCCCTGGAAGGGTCACCTTTGCAAGTCACTTGGGCCGAAAAGGCGATAAAGTGCTGAAATCCGACCAGCGCATGGGGGACACCAGTGAATGATGTCGCTCGGGGCCCTCTTGGGGGCCCCCTGAAAGCGCCTAAAAGGCTCTTGGAGGCCCCTGGGGCCGTCTTGAACGTCTTCAGATGGCCTCCAAGAAGGCCTCCAACATTGTCCCAGTTGGTCTCTGGCATGCCTCCAAGCGGCCCAAGACGGCCCGGAGACAGCTTTGCTCCAAGTGGCCCTGCCGCCCCACGTTGAGACCCCCGAGAAGCCGAAATCGGCCAGAAGCACGTGCTGTATCGTGATGATGATGATGATGATGAGGAGGAGGAGGAGGAGGAGGAGGAGGAGGAGGAGGGGACGAGGAGGAGGAGAGGAGGAGGAGGAGGAGGAGAAGGGGGGAGGGGGGGGAGGAGGCGTGCTGCTTCTCGTGCGTGCCGTCTCGCCCTCTAGCTCCCGATGGGGCTTCGAGGCGCCGGGGCCTCCGAAGATGGTCTGCAACCTCGGACGAGGGAGCCCCACGAAGGGCCCGGGAGACGGGCAAGACTTGCCCGATAACGCCCAAGAGGAGGAGGAGGGAGGAGGAGGAGGAGGAGGAGGAGGAGGAGGGAGGAGGAGGGGGAGGAAGAGAAGGAGGAAGAGGAGGAGGAGGAGGAGCAGGAGGAGCAGCAGGAGGAGCAGCAGGAGAGAGCAGCAGGAGAGCAAAAGCCCCCCAAGGAGGAGCAGCAAGGATGAGGAGGAGGAGGAGGGGAGGAGGAGCCCACCATCCTTTTCAAGGAGAGGAGGAGGAGGAGGAGAGGAAAAAGAGGAGGCGGAGGAGGAGGAAGAGCGGGGATGGGGAGGATGAAGGAGGAGGAGGAGGAGGAGGAGGAGGAGGAGGAGGAGGAGGGGGAGGGGAGGAGAGAGGAGGAGGAGGAGGAGGAGGAGGAGGAAGAGGAGAGAGGAGGACGAGAAGGAGGGACGAGAATGTGATGCATGATGATGATGATGATGATGATGATGATGATGTGATGAGGAAGAGGAGGAGGAGGAGGAGGAGGAGGAGGAGGGGACCCAAGAGCCTCCCACAGGTTGAGGGCCCCAAGAGGCGGCGCGTCGGGCTCCGATGCGGCGACGCCAAGGGGGCCTCCCCCCGCGTGTTGACCGATGGCATCCCGGATCGGCCCTGAGCGGCCCAGGTCCCCACGGGGGCCAAGAGAGCACCCAGAGGGCTCCGAGAGAGCCCAAGACGGCCTCCAGCAATGGTCCTGGAAGGACGAGGGAGGGAGGAGGGAGGAGCGAGGAGGAGGAGGAGGAAGGATGAGGAGGAGGAGGAGGAGGAGGGAGGAGGAGGAGGAGGGAGGAGGAGGAGGAGGAGAGGGATGAAGGAGGAGGAGGAGGAGAAGGAGGAGGAAGGAGGAGGAGGGAGGAGGGGGAGGAGGAGAATGCCTACCTAACCCTGGTTGCGCAGGCCGACCCCGAACGTCGGTGTGGCGGCTGCCCCGACATCTCCGATGCCCGCTCCTGCACTTCCTGGTCAAGGCTTTTCGACTCCCCTCCTCCCCCTCCTCCTGCTCCCTCCTCCTCCTCCTCCTCCTCCTCCTCCTCCTCCTCCCCCCTCCTCCTCGAGGCCCCCTGCAGATGCACTCGAGGGCTGGCCGCGGCCCCGCGCGCCCTGCCGCGCAGCGGGCACGCGCGCACGGGCGCGGGCATCGCTTCTGGATGTCATGGCTGGCACACGCGGAGCGTCCAGATTTCAGTACCGTGCACTAGGGGGAACATATGTACCAGGATCTCGTCTCCTGAACATTGGGCCACGAAGGCTACGGAGGTCCGCTTTCCGTTCCGTGTCCTCCTCCTTTTCCTCCTGCCCCCTCTCCTCGTACCACCTCTACTTTACCACAATCTGTTCAGCAAAGGTTTGACTGTGCGCCTGGCCGTCTTCCCCGCCCCGTCTCCTCCTCGTCGCGCTCCTCCTCCTGCGGGCTGCCCAGTGCTATCGCAAAATGGTCGAACTCCTCCTCCTACAACTCGTCCTCTTCTTCCACCTCCAACTAACTCTCCGTCTCCTCCTGTTGTTCTTTCTCTCTCACGTGACCCGCCATCGCGAACTCGCGTGATAGGAACGTCGCGCGCTCGTCTTACGCGCAAGGCACGCAGGGTGCTGCTGCGCCCCTTCCTCCTCGCGCCCACGCTGGCGAATTCTCCCGATGGTGGACTGCCGGACAAGATCAGGTCGGGCCTGTCCCACTGCAGGTGGATTTGGGATGGAAGCCAAAAATAGTCACACAATACTCCAAAAATGGTCAAGAAACGCAAGAAAAACGTCCACATACTTGTTTTTGGACTATTTTTGAATATTCCTCCTGTAGAGGGACACGCCCGACTTACAGATAAGGTGTCATCCTGATGAGCCCCGATGTCTCCCCTGGGAGGGCGACATGCTTCGTGACACGAGTTGCACGCGCGTCACGTCGTGCGGGAGCTACGCTCCCAAGTGCGTGCACGAGCTGCCAGGGCGGTCCATTGTTGGGGGCATCTGGATAAGGATATCCCCTGGATCTGCGATGCGTTGCGATGCGATGCGACCACCGTTGCGGACAGCGTCCGGGCCTAGAGCAGACCAGGTGGGTGAGGCGATGGCCTCTAGGATCCGAGGTGTCTGGATACATGCAATGCGAGACATATATAACATAATGCCATCGGAAAACAACTACCACGAGCAACTACCGCCGATAACATCGAAGAACCACTACCACCAATTAATCCGCAGCCGTGCCTTCAGCAGTCGTGGAGTGCCCCAGGGCTCCGACGGAAGTACGTACTACGAAAGGTTACAGGAGCCTTGATGTGCTTGGCACCAATTTTCCAGAATTCTCGGGCGCTCTCGGCGCTTGACGCGTGTGACCTCTGGAGGCTCAGCCCACGATTCCCGGAGAGTCTCCCCGATATGTCTCGCCTGTTCGGCTTCGAGATGGCTTCAGAGAGCTCCACTGCTGCCCAAGCGAGCCCCAAGAGCCACCCGCAAAGGCCCAAGAGCTCCAATATGCTCCTGGCACGGCTCACGCAAGCCAGCCCAAGACGGCTCCAAGACAGCCCAAAATGAAGTCAATAGCCCCGCAGACGTTTCGAAACGGCTCACTCTTGGCCTAATCCATCCCCATGGATATCCCCAAGCTGCTTCCAAGGCAGCTCAAAGAGGCCCCAGCGAAGCCTCCACCAAACTGAAGAACACACACGATTCTACCAGAGAGTGCTGGCCCATAGCAGCTGGTAAAAATGATACTGCAGAGAGCATTCAGAGGTAAACAGCAGCTGACGCCAACATACACAAGCAAACGTGAACGTCAGGCAACACCAGTTATCAACAGTGGAGTGGCGAGCGAGAGAATGAAGTGGGCAGAAGCGCAGGAAGGTGGGGGGTTGGGGCGGTGGGGGGGGGGTAGCAAGGGAGAGGGAGCTGGACTGGAGAGGGAAACGGGAAAAATTTCAAGGACAAAAAACGCCAAGGGCATGGGCTGCCTCCTTCCCTCATTTCCTATGATTTCCTGGTGGTCCTCCTTCTATTCCTCTTCTTCCTCCTCCTCCTCCTCCTCCCTCATTCTTCCTCCTCCTCCTCTAATCCTCCTCCTTCACATCCTGCTTCCTCCGCTCCCCACCCTCCTCCTCCTCCTCCTCCTCTCCTCCTCCTCCTCCTCCCCTCCTCCTCCTCCTCCTCCTCCTCCTCCCTCCTCCTCCTCCTTCCTCCTCCTCTCATCTCCTCCTCCTCCTCCTCCTCCTCCTCCTCCTCCTCCTCCTCCTCCTCCTCTCTCCTCCCTCCTCCTCCTCCTCCTCCTCCTCCTCTCGGGCTCACCTCCTTCTTCTCCTCCTGTTTCTCCCTCCTCTCCCCCCTCCTCCCTCCTCTCTGCGAACTTGTGACCCTCCCTCACCCCTCCTCCTCCGCCTCCTCCTCCTCCTCCTCCTACTCCTCCTCCTCCTCCTCCCTCCTCCTTTCCCTCCTCCTCCTCCTTCTTCTCCTCCCCGCCTACACCTCCGGCCTCCTCCTCTCCTCTCCTCCTCCTCTCCTCCTCCTCCTCCTCCTTCCTCCTGTCCTCCTCCTCGTCCTCATCCTCTCCTCCTCCTCCTCCTTCTCCTCTCTTCCTCCTCCTCCTCCTCCTCCTCCTTTACGACTCTTGACCCCTCCGGATCCTCTTTCTTTCTTTTCTTTTTTTATCTCTCTCTCTCTCTCTCTCTCCCTCTCTCTCTCTCAGACGAGCCCGCGGGAGCGCAGGCCCGAAGCGCGCGCGCGGGATCCATGGCTTCGCCTCTCTCCCCTGTCGCTCCCGCCCGGCTCTGCCCCCCACGCCGCAGATGCACCGCACTGCCCCCGCTCGAACTGCGACTAGAACTGCACACGCTCCGAGACTCGTCTCTTTTCCCTCGCTGGACGTCTTGGGACGCCGCGGCTGCTGTCGCCGAAGTCTGGGTAACGGACGTCAGGGGGCTTCCTCCTCGTCCTCCGCGCGCCCCTGCCAGACGCGAGGAGTGGCCCTGGGCGGAGTGACCTTCGGTGCGCGGCCTGTCGATCGCTGCATCTGCGGTGCGACTCCGGCGGCACGCGTGCTCGGACGCGGCCCCTCCGCGCGCCGGCCCCGCCCCGAAACGCCGCGCACCAAAGCTCGTCCCGGCGAGAGATCACTCTCACGTGCAAAGGGGTGCGCCCAGGAGGTGGGCGGGGAGGAGGAGGAGGGGGAGGGGGAGGGGGAGGAGGAGCAGGAGGAGGGGGAGGAGGGGTGGGGGGAGGAGGAGGAGAAGGAGGAGGAGGAGGAGGAGGAGGAGGGAGGAGGAGGAGGAAAGGAGGAGGAGGAGGAAAGAGGAGGAGGAGGAGGAGGAGAGGGAGGAGGAGGAAGAAAACAAAGCGGGTTCGCAGGTCGTGGCCCGAGGCGCGTATGCGGCCCGGGGGGGCGGGGCGGGGGACGCACCGAGGTAAGAAGAGAGGGCCGTGAGGTCAGGGGCCATGGGATCGCCGACCAGCCAAAACTGTGGTCCTCCTCCTCCTCCTCCTCCTCCTCCTCCTCCTCCCAACTGGGGTCCTCCTCCTCCTCCTCCTCCTCCCAACTGGAGGAGGAGGAGGAGGAGCCAGGGGCCATAACTGGGGGAGCTGTGGTCCTTACCCCCCTGGGGGAACCCATCGCGTCGGCGATCTCTCGAGAGGGGTGTCGAAATCGATGGGCCCCCCAGGAGGGTAAGGACCACAGCACCCCCAGTTGTGGCTGGCCTGGATCGGGGGGGGAGATGGTCCCGGCCATGACATCCCCCGCGCTGGTCATCTCCCTTGTGCTGTATGCCGCATCCTCGGGGGACCTGGTTTCTGCCCCCCCGCCCCCCCCCCCCCCCTTGACAGCCCCCGGGTGCGGCCGCTCCTCCTCGGCTGGACGCAGGTGTGGCCCTGGGCAGGAGTGACCCTTGGTGCGCTGGCTCCAATCGTCCACGTGGGGCCGAGCCCAAGCGCGCAAGCCAGTAGTGGGCGGCTGGGGGGCCCCGGGGTGGCACCCCTCTTCGGGCGCGGCTTAACCGCCCCCTAGCAGACCATCCCCTGCCATGACGCGCCCCTCGCCTCTCGAGCTTCCCTCCAGCCGCGTGCACACGCCTCGGGGCGAGGCGAGGGGGGCGTCATGGAAGGGGACGGTTTGCTAGGGCTCGGTTGGGCCGCCCTGGACCTCTGGGTCCGCACCAACGGTCCCTGGCCTCCTTTGCCGTGCCGGCTCGGGGGGGGCCACGGCGTGGCCAAATCCAGGCGCAGAAGCCAATCGATGCTCCGCAGAACGCGTTTTAGCGCCAACGTGTGCCTGTCCACCGCAGCTCCTTCACATAGACGCAGGTCGATGTCATGAGGGGCCGAACAAGGAAAACGCACGCTCGGCTAACACATGTCCTGCGGATCGCCAGCAATACTGAGGGGGCACTGGGGAGCGGGGCCCTCTGGTAGAAGAAGAAAAAACCTCATAAACATAGACTTTGGGCGCTCCGCTCCACGCGCCGGAGGCGCCGCCAGGGGGGCCCAGGCGCGGATCCACGACACCCGCGCGGAGCGCCAAAAGTTTATGCTTATGCGGCTTTATCCCTTCTTCGACCTATGAAAGGGGCCCTGGGACACACAAATAAATACACACAAACAAACATATGTCTCATATTGTCCTATATTTTCTGGGTTTCTCTCTTCCCCCCCACTGCCCCTATTCTCCCACATTTTCTGGGGAATCGACGATTACTTGTGTCTGTGTGCTTCTTCCCCTCCTGAAGGGCCCGCACCGAAGGTCCCTCCGGCGAGGGGTCACCCCGAGGTGCAGCCGACCTCCCTGCCGGCCCCTGCCGATCCCTTTCGCCGCCAAGGCCACCCCTGGGCGGCGGCGGCGGCCCGCGCGCTCGCCGCTGTGCGGAGGCGGGCGCGTGCGCTCAGTCGAGCCTGGGGGCGGGGGGCGCGGAGGCGCCGCCGCTCGGGGGGGGCTCGGCCCGCGCACGGCTGGGAAACCGGGAGGCCCTCGCGGAGTGCCGATGTTCCGAGGTCCTGTGTGTCAGGTCGGGCATGCCCCCCTACATGTGGACTTCGGGCGAAAAATATACAAAACAAATACTGTAACCCACAAACAAATCAAACATGGTCACAACATCGTCCCCATGCGATTTTTGTGACTATGTTTGAACCTTCCTCCTGTGGAGGGACAGGCCCGACTTGATCCCCTGTGTGGGCCCCCCAGAAAACAACGTCAGGAGTTGTGGGCAGCCCATGGCTGGACGACTGCCAGGAGGGGGGGGGGGGGCGAGGGAGGGCGAGGGAGGGGGCGGGCGAGGGAGAGGAGGGCGAGGGAGGAAGCAGGGCAGGGGGGAAAGGCGAGGCAGGCCAAGGGGCAGGGGGAAGGGCGAGGGCGGGTGGAGGCAGGGGGGAAGGGCGAGTGAGGGAGGAGGGCGAGGGCGAGGGCGGGGAGGGCGAGAGAGGGAGGGGGGCTGAGGGCGGGGAGGGCGAGGGAGGGACAGCAAGATGGCGGGCCCCCAGCGTGCCAAGAGAGATGTGGTGGGCTCGGGGGCTGTTGGCTCTGGGCCGCCCCCTGCGAGCCGGGTGGGGGGCGCCAGCCCTCGAGGCCGCCCAGATGGGATCTCGGCAGGGAGGAGGGAGAAGGAGGAGGAGGAGGAGGAGAGGAGGAGGAGGAGGAGGAGGAGGAGGAGGAGGAGGGGGAAGAGGAGGAGGAGGAGGAGGAGGAGAGGGGGAGGAGGAGGAGAAGGGGAAGAGGAGGAGAGGAGGAGGATGGAGGAGGAGGAGGAGGGAGGAGGAGGAGGAGGGGGGGGGGAGGAGGAGGAGGAGGAGGAGGAGGAGGAGGAGGAGGAGGAGGAGGAGAGGAGGAGGAGGAGGAGGAGGAGGAGGAGAGGAGGAGGAGGAGGAGGAGGAGGAGGAGGAGGAGGAGGAGGAGGGAGGAGGAGGAGGAGGAGGAGGAGGAGGAGGAGGAGGAGGAGGAGGGAGGAGGAGGAGGAGGAGGAGGAGGAGGAGGAGGAGGAGGAGGGGGGGGGGGGAGGAGGAGGAGGAGGAGGGAGGAGGAGGAGGAGGAGGAGGAGGAGGAGGAGGAGGAGGAGGAGGAGGAGGAGGAGGAGGAGGGGGGGGGGGTCGCAGGATCGCGCCGCGTCGCTGGTGTATCGGCGACATCGGCGATACATATCTATATATATATATATATATATATACAAGACTGCATTGGCGCTTCGCGCCATGCACCTTGGTCCTTCAACCCTTGCGCGCGTTGGCGCTTGCTTCGGACGGCCGTCAGTGGCGCACGCCTTGCACGTCCGAGTGGATCGGTGCAGCTGGCAAGGGCTGAAGTGAGTTCGATCGTGCATGTCCCCGCAACGAGTGCATTGATAGTCTTTGTGTTGGGGGGCTGACCGTGACTGTGTTTCCCGTCGACTGGCACACGACTTGCAAGCCCGATTGGACTGCTGAAGTTGTGTTGTGGAGAATGATTCTGCAGGCAGGGTCTCGCCACAATCGAAGCAAGCGAATACAGACATCGAGGATGTGCCGTATGCGACAGCTTAAAAATGTAAGCCAACGGCTACGGATGCATGTGTGCGAACACGTGTGGAAAACAATGTTTCCTTAATGACTTGGAAGGGCCCTCGTGAAACCTCCATGGAACGATTATTCTGGGATGCGATAGGGCATAGGGCAGCAAGCATGCAAGCAACGTACCGGATTCTGGAAATGCTAAGGACATCTACCGAATTCCGGGGAACTGTGCCGAATCTCGGGTTCGCAACCGATTTCCCGGGAATTTGGTTGCGAACCCGGGATTTCAAGCATTTTGGTGTTTTGCGTGGTATGCCACTGTCTGGCAAACAACGGAGCAGCGCAGCGAAGCCGTTCCGGAGGTGGCGGTCAAGTGGGGCGATTCAGCAGTTTTGAAGCCTCTTGGGGGGCCGTTTTGGCTGCCTTTTGGAGAGCCATTTTGGGGCCTCGTGGGTTCTTTTTGGGAGTCCTCGGGGCCTTTGGAAGCCTCTTGGGGCCTCTTGGGGCCCTCCTGGGGCCTCCTGGGGCCCACTTGGGGCGGAAAGTTAGATGTTTGTACTTTTGAACGCCCTGTGGGGGCTCGTTTGAAGCTTTCTCGGGGCCCTCTTGGGCCTTCTTGGGCGCCTCTTGGGCTGTTTCGGGGCGCTCCAGAGCCGTCTTGGGGCCGTGTTGGGGCCGTTTTGGGGGCCCCCCGGGCCATCTTGGGGCGCTCTTGAGGGCCTCTAGTTCTGTCTTGGAGCGTCGGAAAGCTAAAATGGCGAGAAAGCAGAAAACATCGAAAAACACATTGGAAAATTGACCATTTCGGCCTCCCGGGGCCGTCTTGGGAGGCTTCTTTGGGGCCGCTTGGGGCGTCTTGGGGGCTCCTGAGGCTGTCTTGGGGCTATCTTTGGCGTCTTGGAGCGCTTTGTGCCTGTCTTGGAGCGCTCTTGAGGCACTCGGGACCGCTTCAATGGGCGTCCGGAGGGTCCCAAAGCCCCAGGATCCCAGGAGTCCGGTTTGGGGGGGGGGGGGGTGCGGGGTTTTGCGGCCGCCCGGGCTTGTAAAAATATAGAAAGAGGAATATATATATATATAATATATATATATATATATATATATATATATATATATATATATATATGTCGGCGACGAAAGCGGGGGCTTTACATCGAGGCGCATGGTCGCTGCATCGGCGATGCCGCGCGATGCAGTGCGGGCGCGGCCGCAAGCAACCCTCGCAAAAAACCCAACCCTGAAACCCCGCGCGCGAGGTGCGCCTGAGGGGAAACCTGGAGCACCCTGAGCGCAGCAGCTTCTTCAACGGCCGCGGGAAGTCACCGCGCAGCGCGCGGAGCGAAGAAACCGAGGGTACCCTGGAGAAACATATGTGGTTGCTTGATGCGCGCCTTCACTGCGCTGCGACCGCATCTACCCGGATCCCATGCGGGAGGCCTGGAGGCCCCGCGGCCAGCGGGATGGGGGGAGGGAGGCAGCGAGGGCGGCGGAGGAGGGCGAGGCAGGAGACGGGAAGAGAGAGAGGGGGAGGGCAGGGCAGGACGAGGGCGGTGCAGGGCGGGGGGTTGTGGCGGGGGGAGGGCGAGGGGAGGGCGAGGGATGTGTTGAGGATGTGTCGAGATTTCTATGTTTGTTTGGGGGGAGCTCGTCGTTCATGGCTGGATCCGCCTGGGGGTCATGGTCAGAGCGCGCTCCAGGAGAGGTCTTGGGTCAACTCCGAGGGGGAGGAGGAGAAGTAGGATGAGACCACGACGACAACGATGACAACGCGGAAGACGAGGACAACGAGGAGGACATATGAACATGAGAAAAATTAGTTGGAGGAGGGCGAGGGATGAAGATGAAAAGGCAGGAGGGAGAGGACAGACGAAGGAGAGGAGAAGGGAGGGAGGGAGGCAAGGAGTCATGGAGGCATCGTCGTCGTCTTCGTCGTCGTGGTCGCCGTCGACGTCGTCGTGTACGTCGTCGGCGTCGTCGTCGACGTGGTCGTCGTCGCCGTCGACGTCGTCGGCGTCGACGTCGTCGTCGTCGTCGCTGCCGTCGTCGGCGTCGACGTGGTCGTCGTCGTCGTCGACGTCGGCGTCGTCGGCGTGGTCGGCGTCGTCGTTTCGGGCCGCCTGTCGAAATGCCCAACTTCCGGCAGCGCGGCGCCGGCGGCGCTTGCAACCGTGCTTCCAGCAGCGCGGCCGCCTGTACCGAGGCGAGGGCGAAAAAGAAACGACGATGTGGCAGCGTCGGCGGTGAGCCGCAGCAGCCCCCAGGGTGCGTGCGCCGCTGGCATTGGGGTGCGGCTCGCGCACGTGGGCGTGCCCCCCAACAAGACGTTCACGGAACGAAGCGGAACGAGAGGGGCAGGAGAAGAAGACGGAGGGGGACATAATCGGAGGAAAAGGGCGAGTCCAAGGGTGCCCCGTAAGGATGCGATACCCTCGGACGTCCGCTTGGAATCACTTGCAGCGGCATCGAGGCTACAGCTCTGGGATCTATGGCTGAGGATGGGCCGAAGAAGCAAAGGGGTGGAAGGGTAGCCCAGACATGCGCCCTCTCTGTAGACCTTGGCTGCCGTCAGGAGCAGCAGCAGCAGCAAAGCCCGCTCCCCGCCTGGCTCGGCAGTGCGTCTTCCGCCCCGTGGCCTCTCCGTGCCGTCCGCTTCCATCGCCCCTCCCCTTGCCCGTGGCCAGGCATGCACCGGGCCACCGAGGGCGCCAGTCGCAAGACGACCCCCCCCCCCAAAATGTAAAGGCATCCTCGGATGCGCCGAGGGTGGGGCAAGAAAAGCGGAGTGAACTCATTATTGCCCGAGGCATGAGCACGGACCGGGGGGAAGCAGGGGATGCTTCGAAAGAGGAAAAATAAGATGAGGACTAATGATAATAATGAGGACAACAACACGAAGAACAAGACGGAGAAACCTACGACTACGGATGATAAGAAGAAACCTAATAATACTCATACGAACACGAATCATACTCATACAAAATGAAAATAATATTACATGAAGAAACAATAACAGTGGAAATAACGATGGTTGCTAACAATCAGAATGCGAAGAAGAAGAAGACAAATAAGAAGAATAAGAAGAAGAAGAAGAAGAACAACAAAAAAAAAAGTGGCCATGAATTCGGAAATTCGGCAGACTTCGTGGCCCAGGCGCTGACGCCCACGCCCCACTGGTGGTCCCCTTCCCCGCGACGCCCACGAACCAAGGAAGCCAGTCGCAAGCCGAAGACGCTCCCCCGGCATCAGGTCATCGGGGCAGCGGCAGAGGGCATCGCGGCCGCCTGTGCCTGGCCGGTCAGCGCTGGAAGGGTCGGCAGCAGCGCCGGCGGGGCCGGCAGCGGCGCCCGCGGCGGCGGGCGCGGGCGCGCTCGCGGCGCTGTCCGCCCCAGCGGCGGCGTCGGCGGCGACGTCCTGCGCACGAGCGGGGGGATGACGGAAATATGGCATGATGTAAATCTTATATATATGATATATATATACACACATTAAACATCTACATATATGTGTATATATATATGTATATATACATACCACCGCGCGCGCGCTTCGCGCGCGCTCGAGCTCTAGCAAGGCTTGACTGGCTATCGCACGGGATCTCAATTAGTCAAATGCCTAGCGCATCTAACGACCTTCTCGGAGTCCCTGCGCAAGCCTCGGAAGCGTATAGAAAGGGAAATGCGGAAACCACATAATCATCAATATCCTTGAAGTGTTCGATGATTTGGGGCCCTCGAGGGCTTGCTGCAAGTGACGGGGGCCGCAATCGTTGCCTGTCATGCAAGAGTAACTAGCGTGCGGGGGGGCGGGCTGACTTTGGAAAAAAGATCATTCTGATACTCCCACTTTTTGTCCAATTGCCATGCTTGGGCTGTAGGACAGAAGTCTCTGTTGGGGTGGCCCTCGGGGCCTTTTTGGCGGCATCCTGGAAGTCTTTCGGGGACTCTTGGGGAGCTCTTGGTGCCTCCCGGGAGTCTCCGCAGGCATCTGGGGAGCACCTCGAGAACCTCTGGGAGAACCTTGGGACTACCTTGGGGCAAAGCGCTCGTAAGGCTTTTGGGGGTATCCCCCAATTGTGTCTCTTTCTTGGCGCGCGTGCGCTGACGTTCTAGCTAGGCTGGACAAGTGAACTCATGGAATCTCGAATTTTACGGTGGTTTCAGGGGCAGCCAAGAGGACACGGAGACGACCCACAAGAGTGCCAAGACAGCGTCAGAGAGTTCAACTGCACTCCCGAAAAATCTTTGCACTGTGACCCCGAAGCCTTGATGGGGCTTGGGATGAACTTGAACAAACAGAGGATAACTAGATTCCCGTTTTTTCTTTCAAATGGGGCCTCCTAACATTTAGTACGCAGGAACGGGGAGGGGGTCTAAGAGGCGTGCAAGGAACTCTTGGGTGGCAGTTTGAAAGCCGCTGGGGGGCTGTTTTGGGGCTTCTTGAAGCCACTTTTGGGCCTGGTCGTGGCTCTTGGGGGCCTGTTCAAGCTCTTTGGGGGACTCTTGGGGCTTCCTGGGGGCCTCTTGAGCGAGAAGCCGGAATTGTCGTTTTGCGTCCCCCCTGTTGGGTGGTTTCTCGGGCCATCTTGGGGGTCTCGGGGCGCTCTTGGGTCGTCGTGGGGCAGTCTTGGGGCCTTCTTGGCCCGTCTTGGAGCCGTCTTAGGGGGCTCTTGGGCGGTCTTGGGGCGGTCCTGCGGGCCTTCTCGGCCGTCTTGAAGCGTTGGAAGCTCGAAAACGCGAGAAGGCTAACAACCTCAAAAGGAACAACGAACATCAGCGACTTTGGCTTCTTCGGGCGCTCCCGGGACGCCTCTCGGAGCTCTCTTGGGGCCTCTTGGAGGCCTCCTGGGAGCCTGGAGAGCCGTCGGAAGTCTGTCTTGGCCTGCTTGGGAGCGTCTTGGGCCGTCTATTCGCGTTCGTGGGGCTCCTTGGGGGCGTTTCGGGGCCTCCCAGGGAAGCTCGGGGGCTCGGCGCCGGGAGTTGCCCCCAGATGTTCTGGAGGTGGGGGACGCTCCCGGGGGGGGGAACGTATTCGTTAATGCTACAGCTTTAATTATAGTCATGGTACGAATAGTAATGGTAATACTCACAATAATGATGATAATACGAATGCATCTTATTATAATGACAATCGAAATGCTACTATCAATCATAAGAATAATTTAATACTAAGAATAATGATAATGATCAGATATTCGCACGCCGAGGCCCTGGACGGTGGAGCGCACGACACAGTGAAACAGGCGACCTGGGGCCGACACCCCCTTCCACCTCCGCCACCTCCTCTTCGCCCTCGCCCTCCTCGCCCTCGCCCTCCTCGCCCTCCTCTACCTCCTCCTCCTCCTCCTCCTCCTCCTCCTCCTCCTCCTCCTCCTTACCTGTCGCCCTGCTCCTCCAGTTGCCTCCTCCTCGCTCTCGCCCTTTTCAATATCCTCTGCCTCCTCCTCGCTTGTCGCCCTCTTCCTCTACCTCCGCTTCCAACTCCTCCTCCTCCTCCTCCTCCTCCTCCTCCTCCTCCTCCTCTTCCTTCTCCTTGCTCTCGCCTTCCGCCGCCTTCCTTGCCTCCTCCTTGCTTGCCGCCCTCCCTCCCCAGTGCCTGCACCTCTTCCTCCAACGGGTCCTGTCTTCCTCTGGCCTGGGTCTCCTCTTCCTGGCGGTCTGCCGGCGCCGCTGGTCCTCCTCCGGCCCGGTCGGCCGACCCCTTTTGCTTCGGCCTGTCGTGAAGTCGGGCGTGTCCCCCTACAGGGGGATTTTCGACGAAAAATAAAAAATACTCAAAAAGTATCCCAAAATGGCCAAGCAATACTCAACAAACAAGTCCCCGGACTATTTTTTACATGTTTTGCAATTTTTGAATATCCCTCCTGTAGACAAGCCCGACATAAGCCTCTCGCCTCCTCTTCCTCGGGCAGGCTCCACTTCGGTCGCCGCCCTCCAACTGTGAAGGGGCCCTGGGACACACAAATAAATACACACAAATAACAGGATTCCCCATACTCTTTCCGTATTTTCTGGGTTTCTGTCTTCCCGCCCAATTCCCATATTGTCCCATATTTTCTGGGAATCGCGAATTGATTGTGTCTGTGTGTTTTTTCCCCTCCTGAAGCTGCCTCCTCCTCCCCTCTCCGCGCTCCCCCGGGCGCCCTGGCGGCTCCTCTGGGCAGCTCTCCTTCGCCCTCCTGCGGCCAGTGTCCTCCTCGATTTCCTCCGCGCTGTCCCTCTCGGGAGCGGCCAAGAGGGAGGTGTCCAAGAAGGGGGGGTGCAAATCATGACCGGCGGCATTTGCGCGGCCCAGCGGGGGGGGGCAGGGACGTATTAAAACAAGAAGAGGCGCCATGAAATATGGGAAATATCATGCCCCCGCCATGATAATTCACCCCCCCCCTAGTCATCACCCCCCTCTTTTCCGCCCCCGACCCTCGCGTCGGCCTCGCTGCTCGCCGGTGGCCTCCTCCAGGAGCCGCTCCGTCCGTCGCCCCCTCCTCTGCTCCTATCCTCCCCGGCCTCCTGCTCTCGCTCCTCCTTCCTCCTCCGCTTCTCCCGCGCCCTCCTGCCGGGCCTCGTTCCGAGGGCACCCCGCGGCCCACACCCGCTGGACGACGTCCTCCATGCAGCGCAAGATCCTTCATTGGGGCCCCTTAGAAGCCCTCTTTGGGCCCGTGCTGTCCTCCTCACCCAGGGGCAGCAGGACCATGAACAAGTTGGAGGCTGGAACGTTGCCGTTCTGACCCTCAGCGTGGCACGCCGCCGCGGCTGAATCGTGATCTGAGAGCGCTCCCAGACAGGTATGGGACCGCAAGATCCTCTTGTCTGCCTCGGAGTCCCGGCCTCGAGGCCAGCCCCACCGCCGCTGAACACACGTCCTGCGGGCGTGGCGGCGCCTGCTCTGGGCGCGTGTCATGTGGTCCTGGTCCGGCACCGCCTCCTCGCACCCTGGTCAGATGCAGCGGCAGCGGCCAGGCGCGCCTGCCTGCGCCGCCGCTATGAGCGAAACGAACGCCCCGCACATCAGGTGAAGGCGCCGTGTGGACGCGTCGCCGCCTCTTGGGCCAGTTCGACCCTGCGCTCGTCGTACCTCGTGCCCGCCATCCTCACGGCTTCCTTGCGCTGCATCTTTCTGAACTGCTCCCAATTCCATCAACCTTCGCGGACCTCTTGCACGATCGCTGCACGCGCGTCTTCCCCACAGAGCTCCTCCTCGATGGTGGTGCACCGCCCTACGTCGACATCGCCTGCAAAGTCTGATCATGATGTTGATGAGGTTGGGGGATCATGATAATTGTGATGATGGTGGTGGGTGTCATAGTGCGCTGTGTTCTGTCGGAGGCAATGAGAGGAGGATGAGGAAGATATAGGGTAAGATGAAATCCGCCGACCCCCGCTTACAGGGGTGAAAAGGCGTGTGAGATGGTTGGCTGTCCCCCATCCCCTTTTCCCCTTCTCCTGGAGCCTAAATGCATTTTGAGAGGGGGGGGGGGGCGCGGGAGGCGGGGGGGGGGGGCACGAGTTCCTAAACGCATCCCCGTGGCCCCTGGAGCCTCTCCAGAACCCGAAAACGCACAAGGCGCCCAATGATGGCCCAAACGAAGCGCCAAGACAATCCAAGAAAGCGTCGAGATGCCACAGCGCGCCCAAGACGGCCAAATGGCGTTCCCAGAATACTGCCAGGAGGGCCCCAAGAAGCGAATATCGTAAAGGCCCCAGGGGCTCTCAAGTTGGCACAAGAGAGCCCCAAGGTTGGCCGAAGAAGGAGAATCCGAACTGGCATTTCGAGCCGTTCCCCCCAAGGACGGCCCCAAGGGCTCCCGAGAGGCGTCTTTAGCCACACCCACGAGGCCCCAAGAGCCCTCCAGGAGGCCCCCAAGAGGCACCAAAATGCCGCCAGATGCCTCGACAAACGCTCAGGAGGCTGCCGAGGGTCATCTTAAGAAACTCCAACATGCCTCCAAGATGTGATTGCCCAGTAAACACGTTCTTTGGGGGTCGGCGGAATGGCATGAGTCTCGAAACTATGCAAGGAGAAGGACGGCAAGGGCAGAGGCAGAGCGAGAGAGAGAGACAGGAGGACATGATGATGGTGATACTCATATTGATGACGGTGATGATGCTGATTTTGATGATTATGGTGATGATGGCGACGAGGACGTCGATGTAGATGGTGATGAGAATGATGGTAATGATGATTGTGATGCTGGTGGTCATGATAATGGTGATGACGGTGGTGACGATGATGACGAGTTTGATGGTGGTAGTGATGCTGCGGACGATAATGATGATTATGTTGATTGTGCAGACATCGATGCTGCCGTTGATGGTAATCACGATGTTCATGATGACCATGGTGTTGATGATGATGATGAGGAGGAGGAGGAGGACGAGGACGAGGGATAGTGATGAGGATAATGACGACCGTAG